TTAGTCAGTTTGTCCACTATTACCCAAATCGAATCGTGCCCTCTCTGACTCCTTGGTAATCCCGTGACAAAGTCCATCGTGACATGTTCCCATGTCCATTCGGAGATTTCCAATGATCGCAGAAGTCCTCCAGGCTTACAATACTGCGCTTTTACTTGCTGACATGTCAGACATTTCGCCACATGCTTAGCCACATCCGTTTTCGTCACATTCCACCAGTAATGCTACCGCAGGTTCTGATACGTCTTTGTACTGCCCGGATGAATGCTATAATTACTGCGATGAGCTTCCTTCAAAATTTCCTCCTTCAGTTCCACATCGTCGGGCACGCACAATCGTCCACGGAACTTCAAGATCCCGTTCTCGGATACTTGGAAATCCGGTTTTCTCTTGGCGGCATCCATTTTCACTATCTTCTGAATTTCTTGTTCCGTAGATTGCAATGCCTTTATCTTGGTTTGAATTTTCGGTTCGATCCTCAACGCGGCAAGTAAATTCGACACACGGCTCACTTCAAACTTAAATCCTGAATCTCTTATCCTTTCCGATAGAGTCCATTCCTTGACCATTAAGTGCGCAATACTCGACTTCCGACTTAGCGCATCCGCCACTCGATTAGCCTTTCCAGGGTGATACAAGATGTCGCAATCGTAGTCCTTGAGGAGTTCCATCCAACGACGTTGCCTCATATTCAACTCCTTCTGTGAAAACAAATAATTGATGCTTTGATGATCTATGTAAATCTGAAACTTTTCCCCGCACAAATAATGCCTCCAAATCTTAAGGGCGAAGATGATTGCAGCCAATTCCAAATCATGAGTCGGGTAATTCATTTCGTGCGGTCTCAACTGACGTGACGCATACGCAACCACCCTTCCATGTTGCATCAAAACACACCCAAGTCCTCTCAACGACGCATCACTGTAGACCTCAAACCCTCCTAACCCAGACGGAATAGTTAACATTGGAGCAGTCGTCAACCTATGCTTTAGCTCCTGAAAACTCCTCTCACACTTATCGTCCCATTCGAACTTCGTTTCTTTCTTGAGTAATCGCGTTAACGGCATGGCTATTGACGAAAATTCTTCTACAAAATGCCTGTAGTATCTTGCCAAACCTAAAAAACTCCGAATTTCTGTTACTGACGTCGGCTTTGCCTACTTGGTCACTGCCTCAATCTTAGTCGGGTCTATCGAAATTCCGTCTCTAGAAATTATATGTCCAAGAAATGCCACTCGATTGTGCCAGACTTCGCACTTACTCAACTTGGCGTAGAGTGCGTGTTCTCTTAAGGTCCGTAGCACTTCAGTCAGATGAACCACATGATCTTCCGGGCTCTTCGAGTATACCAATATATCATCGATGAAGACTATAACGAACCGATCCAAGAACTCCCTAAATACCCGATTCACCAAATCCATGAAGGCAGCGGGGGCATTAGTCAAACCGAAAGGCATCACCGTGAATTCGTAATGCCCATATCTCGTCCGAAAGGCCGTCTTAGGTATATCCTCCTTCCTAATCCTCAACTGATGATACCCCGTCCGTAGATCGATCTTAGAAAATACTGAAGCTCCATGCAACTGATCGAACAGGTCATCAATCCTCGGCAGTGGGTACTTATTCTTGACGGTCACCTGGTTCAACTGCCTGTAGTCTATACACAACCTCCATGTCCCATCCTTCTTCCTTAGAAACAACACCGGTGCTCCCCATGGAGATGCACTCGGACGGATAAAACCTTGTCCAACAACTCTTGCATCTGGACCTTTAACTCCTTCAGTTCTGATAGTGACATCCGGTACGGCGCCTTCGAGATCGGCTCAGTTCTTGGGGCCAACTCGATTACGAATTCCACTTCTCTTTCTGGTGGCAAACCTGGCAATTCCTGAGAAAAGACTTCGGGAAAATTCCTCACCACGGGTATATCCTCTATTCTTGGCTCCGCAACCGTCAGATTGACTACGTTTACCAAATACCCTCAACACCCTTCATCCAACAACTTGGTTACTTCAAGCGAAGAAATCCAAGGGATCGAGGTCCCTCCTCGATTTCCCATAAACTCGAATCTAGGATGCCCAATCGGGTTGAATTGGATCACCCTGTTGCTATAGTACATCACGGCTTTTTGCTTAACTAACCAATCCATCCCGACAATCACATCAAAATCGAACATAGTGAATACCGCCAAGTCTATCGTTTCCTCTCTACCCTCCAATTACTGTCTTCCAAAGTCTAGATCCTCCTCTCCGATTGGCCATCCGTCTGTGGATGATAGACCGTACTAAACTGAAATTTCATCCCTAAGGCCGTTTATAGACTTTTCCAAAAATTGGCGGTAAACCTGGGATCACGGTCCGAAGTGATCGTCACCGGTACTCCATGAAGTCAGACAATCTGTCGTACATACAAATCTGCATACCTTTCCAACTCAAAATCCTTTCGCACCGCCAGGAAGTGTGCTGACTTAGTCAGTTTGTCCACTATTACCCAAATCGAATCGTGCCCTCTCTGACTCCTTGGTAATCCCGTGACAAAGTCCATCGTGACATGTTCCCATTTCCATTCGGGGATTTCCAATGATCACAGAAGTCCTCCAGGCTTACAATGCTGCGCTTTTACTTGCTGACATGTCAGACATTTCGCCACATGTTTGGCCACATCCGTTTTCGTCACATTCCATTAGTAATGCTACCGCAGGTTCTGATACGTCTTTGTACTGCCCGGATGAATGCTATAATTACTGCGATGAGCTTCCCTCAAAATTTCCTCCTTCAGTTCCACATCGTCGGACACGCACAATCGTCCACGGAACTTCAAGATCCCATTCTCGGATACTTGGAAATCCGGTTTTCTCTTGGCGGCATCCATTTCCACTATCTTCTGAATTTCTTGGTCCGTAGATTGCAATGCCTTTATCTTGGTTTGAATTTTCGGTTCGATCCTCAACGCGGCAAGTAAATTCGACACACGGCTCACTTCAAACTTAAATTCTGAATCTCTTATCCTTTCCGATAGAGTCCATTCCTTGACCATTATGTGCGCAATACTCGACTTCCGACTTAGCACATCCGCCACTCGATTAGCATTTCCAGGGTGATACAAGATGTCGCAATCGTAGTCCTTGAGGAGTTCCATCCAATGACGTTGCCTCATATTCAACTCCTTCTGTGAAAACAAATAATTGATGCTCTGATGATCTGTGTAAATCTGAAACTTTTCCAGCACAAATAATGCCTCCAAATCTTAAGGGCGAAGATGATTGCAGCCAATTCCAAATCATGAGTCGGGTAATTCATTTCGTGCGGTCTCAACTGACGTGACGCATACGCAACCACCCTTCCATGTTGCATCAAAACACACCCAAGTCTTCTCAACGACGCATCACTGTAGACCTCAAACCCTCCTAACCTAGACGGAATAGTTAACATTGGAGCAGTCGTCAACCTATGCTTTAGCTCCTGAAAACTCCTCTCACACTTATCGTCCCATTCGAACTTCGTTTCTTTCTTGAGTAATCGCGTTAACGGCATGGCTATTGACGAGAATCCTTCTACAAAACGCCTGTAGTATCCTATCAAACCTAAAAAACTCCGAATTTCTCTTACTGACGTCGGCTTTGCCCACTTGGTCACTGCCTCAATCTTAGTCGGGTCTATCGAAATTCCATCTCCAGAAATTATATGTCCAAGAAACGCCACTCGGTTGAGCCAGAATTTGCACTTACTGAACTTGGCGTAGAGTGCGTGTTCTCTTAAGGTCCGTAGCACTTCAGTCAAATGCATCTCATGATCTTCCGGGTTCTTCGAGTATACCAATATATCATCGATTAAGACTATAATGAACCGATCCAAGAACTCCTTAAATACCCGATTCATCAAATCCATGAAGGCAGCGGGGGCATTAGTCAAACCGAAAGGCATCGCCGTGAATTCGTAATGCCCATATCTCGTCCGAAAGGCCGTCTTAGGTATATCCTCCTTCCTAATCCTCAACTGATGATACCCCGTCCATAGATCGATCTTAGAAAATACTGAAGCTCCCTGCAACTGATCGAACAGGTCATCAATCCTCGCCAATGGGTACTTATTCTTGACGGTTATCTGGTTCAACTGCCTGTAGTCTATACAGAACCTCAATGTCCCATCCTTCTTCCTTACAAATAACACCGGTGCTCCCCATGGAGATGCACTTAGATGGATAAAACCCTTGTCCAACAACTCTTGCATCTGGACCTTTAACTCCTTCAGTTCTGATAGTGACATCCGGTACGGCGCCTTCGAGATCGGCTCAGTTCCTGGGGCCAACTGGATTACGAATTCCACTTCTCTTTCTGGTGGCAAACCCGGCAATTTCTGAGAAAATACTTCGGGAAAATTGCACACCACGGGTATATCCTCTAATCTTGGTTCCGCAACTTTCGGATCGACTACGTTTACCAAATACCCTTCACACCCTTCATCCAACAACTTGGTTACTTCAAGTGAAGAAATCCAAGGGATCGAGGTCCCTCCTCGATTTCCCATAAACTCGAATCTAGGATGCCCAATCGGGTTGAATTTGATCACCCTGTTGCTACAGTCCATCACGGCTTTTTGCTTAACTAACTAATCCATCCTGACAATCACATCAAAATCGAACATAGTCAATACCGCCAAGTCTATCCTTTCCTCTCTACCCCCAATTACTATCTTACAGTTAGGACACCCTAACGAGACTAACACCATATCGTTCAGCGGAGTCGTTACACAAAACATAACTTCAAGCAAAATCTTCTCAATTCCAGTCAATCTAACAAACTGTTCCGATATAAACGAGTGCGAAGCTCCCGGATCAAACAAGGCATAGGCAGCATGATAACAGAGAGAGACCGTACCTATGACCACGCCTGGCATGTCCTCACCCTTCCTTCTCGCCATTGCATACACTCTTCCTTGAGCTGGCAGTCTACTCTGAATTGCCGACGGGGGATTTCCAGTCTGATTTTCACTCCGGGGCGGCTAAGATTGTATTGGCGGTCCTGTTGGACATTGAGGGCAATGTCTTATCTGATGATCCAGGCTCCCACACCCGAAACATGCCCCAAATTGATTCTGAGAATGGTTCGGCTTCCCGATGTTCTTCTTAACGGGAGGGACAAAACGCCTGTTTCCCGCCATCGGCCTCTTCCCGAAGCGGTGGTTGTCTTTAGCCGGGGCAAACCGCGATCCAGAAGCGGCGGCCCTATCCATCTGATCCCGTTCTATCGCTTGAGCTCGCTCATACATTTCTCCATAATCCCGGATATTCAGCGAGATCATCTGGCTACGAAGGTCCGGCTTCAGCCTATCCCGGAACCTTTGGACCTTATCTAGTGGGTCCTCCACCATCCTTGGCGCGAACTTCGATAGCCTTGCAAATTCCGCCTCATACTGATCCACAGTCATCGATCCTTGGCGAAGTCTCATGAACTCCGCTAATTTCCTTTCTCTAGCACTCTCAAAAAAGTATTTTCCGTAGAAATTCTCAGTGAACATAGCCCAAGTCTGGGCAGTACCCTCAGGGAACACTCTCCCCCTAGTGGCCTTCCACCAATCACTGGCATTTTCTTGCAACTGGTACATAGCCAAAGTCACCTTCTCGGCCTCGGTGCACCCCAAGACTTCAAAGGCCTTTTTCAGTTCTTCCACCCGACGCGGCGCGGCCTCAGGGTCACCCTTTCCATCGAACTTCGGCGGCTTCAATTTCAAGAACTACTCCACCAGCTGGTGCATTTGTCTATTCACGACCACTTGAGCTGGCCCCTAATTGGCTTGATTTTCATTAACAACAGCAGCTGCAGCGGCCTCAGCAGCTTGGGCAATATTGGCAGCCCTCTCTTGAGCCTGCCTTCCCATCAAATTTTCTATCTCCTACAGTGCTTGTATGACCCCATCAGCCCAATTTCCACTAAATTTTCGAAATTCAACCTCAAAATTGAATTTCTCATCATATTCCGAACCCAAACATATAATTTTCCTCAATTTTTATTATAATTGTACCCAAGATTTTCTCATTTTTATATTCGGGTTAATAGGGTTTTGTTCAATTCGAGGTCCTAAAGACCTGATTAGGCAAAATTGATGCCAAAATTGAATTACCACCCCTGATTAACCCTAGAAATGATAGTCTCATATTTCGACAATTTCATTTTGGGCACGATTCCCAATTTGGGTTCAAAATTCTTAATTTTCAATCAAATTTTGGGGATTTTTTATTTTTATGTAAAATTGTGCAATTGGACCGACCATTATGCAATTAAAGGTCCCAGAATCAATTGTTGTGAAGACACTATGACTTAAAAATGTCTAGAAAAAATTTAATTTAATTTTTGGTTCAATTCGGGTTTAATTTTGCCCAATTTTGGGAAAAATATATACCCAATTGATATTTTCTAAAATTGACAGTGTATTTATGAAATTGGATTTAAAATAAGATTAGTGACTATTTTTATGAAATTTTATGATTCCATTTATTATTTTTCTTGATTTTCTTGCTTATTTTGACTAAAAGAAATTAAGAAAAAATGCAGAAAAATGCTAAAAAATTATTTTTTGGTTTAGAAATAGGTTTCTAGGCTTGGCCAAGATCCCTAGACCTAATTTTGAAATTTTTGAAAATATGACAAAAATGAGCTAAAAATTAGGTGTCAACAGAAAGGATAATGGAAATCTACCCGTGTTTGATTTGATTAACTTTTCGATTTTGAAAGTTTTGAGGTTAAGGAATTCTGTAAGAATGCTTATGGGATTAAGTCCAACAGGTGGCTCTACGACCCTAGGCTTGGAATCAATTCCAATAGCGGCTTGATATTCTTCCAAAGTCGGTGTCAATTCATACTCTCCAAATTGGAAGGTGGCAGTGGAGACCTCCCAAAAATGCGCCAATGCTTGTATCAAACTGACTTGATGTTCCACATGGATCAAGTCTAGAAGGTATCCCAACCTATCTTGGACATAAATTCGGTTATCTCTTGTCATGTCCTTCCACCAAGCCATGAGCTCTTTTCGTGGAATGGGAACCACTTGGATGTCTAGTTTTCCCATCTACCCTAATCATGCAAAAAGGTTCATTATTAATCACCATGGATTACACATCAATTTTAAATGCCCCCATTTTAATTATATGTCCTTTTATGGAAAAAATGGAGGTAAAGTACATGTGCATACTTATGACGTAATACAAATGCCACTTCTAATCCATTTATGCCTTAAAAGAGCATATACTTGAAAATGTGAATGAAACCAATGTTTAATGCAAATGCCTTTGGTCATGCTCCATTTTGACCATAAAGTCCTATCCTATGGTTTACAACTTCGAATATATCGAAAATAAATTTTTAGCAAATGGGATTGTTCTTGTCACATCTTGAGCATTCAATCTACATTGAAAATCACCATGGACCTATACATTCCATATAGAAATGAAAAATATGACCAAATGGAGCATGTCACCCTATTCATTCATTCTAGTATAAAAAAGGCATTTTGATCAAACATTGATTGTTTTTTGGGCATTTTTTTAACAAAATTGTGTCAACTAACTTTGCATAATTGAAAAGATGAGAGAAGTGGAACGACACTTACTTATCGATACATTTTTACTTGGTTTTAGGTATACCAACCACAAAGACAAGCATATGCAACAAGTGAGGTTTAGACATCTAAAAGGGTGGGATATACTAAAGGCTCAAGGTCTCCACCTTAATGGACAAGGGATTCCATTCCAATAGGCAATCGGCCTAAAGTAATGGAATATTATTCCATCTCGATGATCGGTATTGTATTTAAACGATCCCATGAGCAATCGGCTCACAGTTTCGCCTAAACACGTACCTCCTAAGGGTAATCCTAAATGTAGCCGGGGTTGGGCCACGGGTGGTGTGTGCGAAAAGTGTAGTGTGAAAGCAATTTAAAGGCAAGCACAACAATTTATAACCAAACAGCACTTCTAAAATTTGGTGGAATCACATTCAATCCCAACACCATCCTGCAAAACAAAGGTAAGCACAGACTACACCCCTTATACCTCCCACCTGCATTAACATTTAATACGTTATTAGTGGAACGTACCTAGGATCCTTGCGAGCACAAACACATGCATATCGTTCTATTTTAGGCTTAAGTCCACTTAGAAACCCAAGGTTCCCCAGCGGAGTCACCAAGCCTGTCGTGCCACGCTCTCGCGTGCTAGAATGGAGGTATTTTTCTAGACGGTTCTCTCCCAGACCATACCTCACGTGACAGCGGGGTTTATTTGATCTAATCTTGAACTTGGAGTCGCCACTAGTCATTTACGGTAGGTTGACTAGAAACCTAATCGAGGTACAGGAGAAATACCACGATCCTACGAACCAGAGACTTTGAATAAGGGACTTAGTTACGTTAACGATCCCAAATTGAGACCATTAACGCCGTTTCGGTACCTAAGAATGATATGGCATGTCTAACGTGTCACACGGATTCCTAAGGTCAATTCACTAATCTAATCACAAACAAACAATTAAGCACCCAAAATTAAATGTGCAATCAATGGCAAATCAATCATAGCAACCTTAATTTGGCCACTAAAAATGAAAATCAAGCAAAACACTCAAACCCTAGTGAAACCCTCGAGGCTTATTCATTTAATGGTGCATTTTTGGGTTTAGGGTTTTTTAGGGGTTATAACCCTTAAATTTGGAATTTTCCAAAAATGCCACTTAGGCATTTTCGAAAATTCAAATTTCACTTTTTATGGCTGGCCACGATGATTTTGGATCTTTCTGTGAATTTTCAAATTTTTTGAATTTTTATTTTATTTTATTTTCGGAAAATTTTTTAAATCGAGAATTGATTTTTTTTTAATGATTTTCTGAAAATTTTTATGAATTTTCCAATTTTCTCAATTTTTTATTTTTCTGAATTTTTATATTTTTATATTTTCTATTTTCTGAATTTTATGAATTTTCTGAATTTTTTTCCGAATTTTTATTATTTGATTTTGGTTTTTTTTATTATTTTTTTATTTTCGAATTTTTCCCGCTGGTGAATTGAACCGGACCGGACCGGACCGGTTCAAACCGGTTCGGCTAAGACCGAACCGGCCGGCACCGGTGCCGGCGCCGATCTCCTTCTCCAGCGAGCACAATGCCAAAAACGGCGTCGTTTGGGCCTTTTTTCATTTAAGCATTTCCTCGGACAGTTGGTGGGCACTATTTTGTATCCAATGTTTTCTAGGCCGCCGGTTTGAACCTTCTGTCGGCGACCTTCTGGCGACTATTTCGCCGTTCTGTTTGCACTATCATCAAGTCCACATGTTCCAGTATCATTTTAGCCCAATCAGATCGACGTCGGACACTTGCCGGCCGGCGAAAAATCGATTGGAAAATCCTAATGTAACACTAATCTAAACAAAATTTTCCAGAACACTAATCCTAACACTAGCCGCCCTAACCATCTAAATCGGTTCTAACAATCATCAAAACATCAAACAAGGTCAGGGATACTAACTTGAATGGCCGTACGGCCATGCCAATGCTCCGGCGAGGCTTCGAGTTTTCCGGCCAGGGGATTTAATGCACGGGCCGACTCGGTTTAAGTGTTTTTGATGCCCAAAATGCAATCAAACCACATAAAAAATGATTAGAAACTAATAATGAATATCAAAATGCCAAGGTTCGTCAATGAAATCACTCAAACATGCACATTGAGACCAAAATCGAATTCTGGAAAATTTTTGAGAAAACTGACCATGAACGATATTTACCTTCTTCGTCCAACAATTAAACGAAATTGTTGAAGTAATCCAAGCCTGCAGTCTCGTTCCTTAACATTTGGTCTTCAATTCGGTGGCCGTAGCTTCGCTGGAACAGGTCTGAATACGCCAGAAAACGCCTGGTTTCAGGCCTTCCCGATCAGCCTCCTCCTGGTTCAACCAAGGAGGAAATCCTCCCAAAACGGTCGATTCACCGGCGCCGATCACTCGACCAGGGGGATCTCTACTCCTTTCTCTCTCTAGATTTCAAGCGTTTTCTCTCTATTTCTCTCTCCTCCTTCTCTCTGGAATTTCCTCGAATAGGTTTCGTCCATGTTCTTCAGTTTTTCTCCTTTTTTGTTGATTGATTTCTCGCTCAAATTCAGTTGGAACCGACTTTCGATCGGTTGGGATCGTTAACCGGTGCCAGCTGGACATTTTCTAGCTGGAAAAACCAATTAAAACGTGCTAATTTGATCGGGGTGAGTCAATGAAGTTGCGGGCACGAGTTATTTTTCTGGGTTTTTTTTTGTGCCGTGGACAAGTTGGGTAGGGAAGACAAGCTACCTGGGTCGAGTCGGGTTGACCCAACTAACCCGGCAGACCCGGGTAGGTCTAAATTCGTCAATTCAACCCGATTTTGACCCAATTTTTCAAATTAAACCCCAAAATTGAATTCCCCATCATATTCCGAACCCCAAATGTATAATTTGCCCCAATTTTTATTATAATTGTGCCCAAGATTTTCTCATTTTTATATTCGGGTTAGTAGGGTTTTGTTTAATTTGATGTCCTAATGACCTGATTAGGCAAAATTAATGCCAAAATTGAATTACCCACACCTGATTAACCCTAGAAATGATGGTCTCACATTTCGACAATTTCATATTGGGCACAATTCCCAATTTGGGTTCAAAATTCTTAATTTTCAATCAAATTTTGGGGATTTTTTTATTTTTATGTCAAATTGTGTAATTGGACCGACCATTATGCAATTCAAGATCCCAGAACCAATTGTTGTGAAGACATTATGATTTAAAAATGTCTAAAAAAAATTTAATTTCATTTTTGGTTCAATTCGGGTTTAATTTTGCCGAATTTTGGGAAAAACATATACCCGATT